GTCCGCGCGGAATGAAAAAAAAAACTTAATTAGGAGCCTATGTGTTCTTCCAGACTATGTTCTACATATATGCCAAATTACAGCGAGATCCGTTCAGACGTTTTGGAGATACCTTCAAACAAACAAACATTCATGCATCCAAACATTCGCATATTTCATATTACTAGTTGTCGCCCGCAATGCCGTCCGCGCCGAATTAAAAAAAAATGTTGGCCGATTCTCAGACATACTCAATAGGCTCACAAAATTTCATGAGAATCGGTCAAGCCGTTTCGGAGGATAATGGGAACGAAAATTGTGACACGAGAATTTTATATATATATATATAAGATAACTAAGATGTAACAAAGCGCCATATGGAACACTTTTATTAACAAAACCAAAGAGAATTGAACTATAAATGTAAGTTACCATAACAATAGAATGAGGACGGATGCTGTTCAAACAACACCAGAGGAAGCTGCATTATGAAGGGTTAACAACAATCATTTAGAGGCAGTGCTGATAATTTTTAAATGTTTCAATCCTCTATGAAAATTGCTAGGTTTTCCGTAGGGCAATTACATTCAAGGACAAACTCATCAGTCTCTAATGTGACCTTACAACATTTGTCTATAGAAAATTGGCCTTATAAATAAATACACATCGAATCACTTAACTAAGGATACCACAATAATTAATAGTAGCAAATGTACTGGTAAAAGTCAATTTAAAACCACAGATCAAACAGTATGAATTACCGTCGGATTGTGAGAATAAAATATATGTATATATCGTCCTCCCTATCATTATCTTTGACAAAACAGAGATAACAATATGTTTTAAACATGAATCTTGGTCACAGGAAGCCAAGGTTATTCACTTCGCAAGTATTCTGTAAGTTTCCGCTTCTAGCACACCTGTACATATCGTCAATGTTAGTTGAATAAGAGAAGTAATCGTTTCAAGTACAGATATTTATCTTCAGTGGGCGTTACAGATGAATATTTCACCTCTAGTGAAATTGCTTTCATTCTTTCTAATGTTAATTACATAGAAAGAATTATGTAAACACTTAATCACTTAATCAAGGCGGTAGGAGATTGCTTGTTTCGCTTTCGTTATTCATAAGCAATTATTGCCTACCTCAATATGTGTGTTCTCTGATTCAGACTAAAGAAATAAGTCTGGGATTAAGCTCGGAGAATCACAAATAACCTTATTTAAGAAATTCTATCTACAAATACTTGAATATTTAAAAAGAACAATACTCAGCAATTATTTTGATAAATATATAATAATATCCTCAATAGAAATTCACGTCGTAAAATTTTTAGGTTACTAAATTAGTAAGTAAAAAAAATAAAAAGCTAGAAAAAAGTATTTTGCATAGCTCTTCGAGACTTCTGAGTGCACAAGTTAAACTTTAAAATGCATATAATATTTTCATTAAGAAATAGTTTCACATCCTCAAAGAGGATGGTAATTTAATTAAGAACTCTAAATAATTTGAAAATTTCTTATGAAACAATTTTTAAAATAATTTTTATAAAAGATGTAAAATTCCAACAATTTTACTCGTCCTCAATTTATTGCACATGTACGATAATAAAAAAAATTCAAAATACAAATACAAGAAAGAAGCGATTACGTTCATGCAATCTCAACTTGGATGCATTTTGCATAAAATTGGCCATCGTAGCACCGGGAGGCAAATATCGAACAATTTCGGAATATATGGAACACGGCTAGACGTAGAAGTTGTAGTATCAAGCCTATCTGTGTACTAATGGCCTATCCATGCAATAAGTGAGCATGCAACGTATCGTAGAAAAGGAATATCAAGCATCGAGCTGGTTCGATAGTACTCGTATTCGATGCAAACTTTCCGCGCCGTTTTATCTACGACATAAACAATGTTCGAATAAAAATGAACCGCAGTAAAACCCTTCCGGCCTTCCATATTTCAGCCTTACATAACGTTCCTTACGTGGTTTACGATCTTAGCATACAAATAAAAGGTAAAACTCTGACATGATTTACATTTACTTATATAACTACGTGATAGTAAATTAAATAAACTATTTTTAATGTTTGATGTTTTTTATCGTTTTATACTGTTTTTTTCATATCACAAGGTGGCAAACGAGCGAGTGGCCATATGAAATCGCTGAAATAGCGAAGTGACTGTTGCCCATAGACATACGCAATTGCATAAGCGTTGCCTACCTTTAATCGACGTAGGAGAGGATGCACAGAAAGAAAACATTTCCATGCATCCTCTCATACGGAAAGTCCACTTCCCATCCTTATAAGAAAAAGGGTAGGAAGGGAAAGAGGACTAAATTAGGCCTCCGGGACGCACACTCATCAGACGAAACGCGGAATTGCTTCCACTTCACGCCTGTCTTCTGTGTGGTCGTGTTATTTCACCGGGCGAGTCGGGCCAATTCAAAAAAATAAATTATACTGTTATTTGAATGGCAGTTTTTGCAGCTGTATCGCATATCATCGGTTTTTTTGAAGAAAATAATTCTAGCGTATTGTGCTTATTAGAACGAAATAACATCAAATCAATCACATTAAGAACCAATTTCTATCATCGAAATGTAATTGAAAGTCGAACTATAGGTCAATGATATATTGAATAAAGAAAAAATACTAAAATATAATTTCTAACAAAACATTATACGAGCATTTTTTTACGAAGACGCCAGTGGAATAAAAAGAAATTGCTTCATCCGATTACAAATCCGATGAGACTGCCATAATTCAAACGGTGCCGACCTTTCCACTGCCGAAGAATTTATCTGTGAAAGACTTAATTGAATTTACTATTACTAATGATTAATAGAATTTCCTATTTGCAAAAGCGAAGAACATTAAGTTAAATAAAATAACGCGCACCTAAAAAACAACTGTCTACTGTAGTTACACTGATTATAATATATCAAAAAACACATTTTTACAAATCTTATCTTTCTAATATTATAAATGCGAATGTTTGGATATATGTACGGATGGATGTTTTTAGACGGTAGGTACCTCCAGAACGGCTGCATGGATCTCGTTAAAATTTGACATAGATGTAGAACATAGTCTGGAACAATACATAGGTTACTAATGAAGTTTTAAATTAATTCCGCGCGGACGGAATCGTGGGCTACACCTAGTATGATATAAATTGACAGAACCAATTTAACATTGCAAAACTGTTCACACCACACTTAAATAACTTGCTATATCGTTGACTAGTTTCTGGCATACAGGGACTGTGTTTACGTTTACATAGCCGCTACACGACATGTTAATTAAAAAAGTTCCCTACTAAAATAATTGAACGATGAAAATTTATCCAAAATGATAGTTTTTCGGACAAAGTTTCGCTATATAAAAAGTTGAATGAACATGAATATTTATTTCCAAAGTAAGTACAAATTTTGACCAAATATATGGAGCGTGTGTGATCATTATGAGATAACTAGCTGTCGCCCGCGACTCTGTCCGCGCGAAATAAAAAAACATAGTAGACTATGTGTTCTTCCCGACTATGTTCTATATGTATGCGTTTAGGACATACCTTCAAACAAACATCCATACATCCATCCATCTAAACATTCGAATTTATAATATTAGTAAAGATGGTGACGATATCGCTGCGAAAAAATCTAAATACATCATGATTCCATTGTTTTCGTAATATTTTTGAACACTCTCTAAAATCAGTCTAAAACTCCACAAATCATTATTAAAACTTTTTGATCGACATACTCAATGTGTGATGAGAATGAACGTATAAATTCTGCAAAGTGCAAACTGCAAAGTCGCTTGGTAATAAAACAAAACTTGGTCTTAATAGATACTGACAGGACTCTGTTAATAATACTTAGATAGTTTAAACTAGGTGTAAGTTAATTAACACACGCCTCATAGTGTCAAGTAGACATTAGCGCTGACGCAAGCTGGTGATCAACAGTATTATGTTGCAAGTAATGAACAACCGCAAAATACAATGTGCTACCATACTAACACGTTAACTGCCACCGACTCGACTTACGGTTTACTTTAATACAGATAGTAGTGGCATTGAACGTGTTAAACTATAATGAATCTTACTAATATTAGAAATGAATGACGGTTGTATGGATGTCCCTGAAACTTGGCATAAATGTAAAACTTAATCTGGAAGAACACATAGGCTACTATTTTTTTTAAATTCTGCACGAACGTAGTCGCGGCTCACCCGGTGAAATACCACGACCACACAGAATGGCGTCAAGTGGAAGCAATTCCGCGTTTCGTCCCATGTGTGTGGGACCCGGAGGCCTAATTTTAGTCCTCTTTCCTTGCCCACCCTTTTTCTTATAAGGAAGTGGACGTTCCGGATCAGATGCATGGAAAGTGAAAATATTTTCTTTTTGTGCATCCCCTCCTCCGTCGATTAAAGGTAGGCAACGCAATTGCGTATGTCTATGGGCAATGGTCGCTTTGCTGTTTCAGGGATTTCAGATGGCCGCTCGCTCGTTTGCCACTTTTTGATTTAAAAAAAAACATAGGCAATTACGTATTGGTTACCGACTCATAAAACCTATAGTAGCACAATTTCGGTATTGTTATAATGTGGGCCAAGCTTTTAATATTCATAAACTGAAGCATTGTGTTTTAAACACAAAACAGGTATACGGAAATTTTTAAACATCGGAATATTGAAAAAATTCTGATGGACCGTTGCAAAACTTTTACATTTATATATTTCGATCGTAAAATACAAAACATTACACATGCAATTTCTGTTTAAAAGTAAGAACTTACTGACAATTATGTTTGTTTTATTTGCTTTTATAAAATTGTATGATAAACAATCTCGTCTCAATCGAACCTTTCGATTTTTAGTACTGTTTTTAATATTTGTTGACATGGACCGAGTTAAAACCTTAGCCAAAATAAAAGTAATATTAATACGCTGAAGGGGGTAATGACCTTCTCATTCGTATCCTATATTAAAAACAATTTCAACATACCTGTGCTTTACTTGTGTATACTTTGATATATTGCATTGAGCATCTGTAACAAAATATGAAAAGTCAAATATACCTTCATTTGTTCTCTCCAAAGATATCGTAGTATTAACATTCAACATAAAAGGAACGTATTAAATGCTCCCAGTTATCTATATACGAGGCAAAATCACGTACGTACATTGCGGTGCCGCTATACAGATCCTAATCTCTACACTAATGGTCTACATGTGAAAGGTGAACATCTAGAGAACATCCTTCTAATGATACCTTTAATACTCTTTGCATAATCCTTCTTTTAAAGAAGACTATTCATAGTTTAAAAGATTATTGTACAAAGTGAAGGGGATTTATCGAAAATATAAGAAAATAAATTAGTAAATGTCTTTTTTTTTTAATTATACGACCTTGAAAAGGTTAGAAATCTTACTAATATTATAAATGCGAATGTTTGATGGATAAATGGATAAATTGATGTGGAAAAGCTCAATGGATCGTGACAAAATGTGGTATAGATGTAGAATATAGTGTGAAAGAACACAAGGTAATTTTTTATAAGGAACAAAAGTTTTTTTTAAATTCCGCGCGGACGAAGTCACGGGCGACAGCTAGACGTATATACACGTCACCAAAAATGCGTCAACTAAGAAATAATAGCTTAGTTAATGTAAAATCTAGATGAATACAAAATATGATAAACTAACATTGAAATATAGTGTTGCCCTATTACGATACTACATAATATTTGATCCTTTAGCAAATAACTTTAAGAAAAAACAAATAACAATCGTTACCTAATGTTATATCCCATTACATTATTGAACTTCAATCTATTTTATGGCATCTATTATATGTTATATAGCTATATCGAGGTTAGTTAGGCGCGCCTAGAACACAAGTCTATTATACTTTGTTTACCGTCTATGCCTATTACATTACCGTTCACTGCTTTAATCTTATAATAGTATTGAAAGTAAAGAAAAGCTGGTTTGTTAGCTCAAATATTAATACTAAAATCTAGGGATCTTACTAATAAGTAACTAAATAATTTAGTTAACCTTTTGAGGTTAAGGTTTCACAATCCAATGTTTAAAAAGTTTGACTTTAACAAGTTCTTCTTACACATTTAAACATAAACTATAGCACCTACAATTACTAATATCTAATTAGCAATAAGGTAATATTATTATAACAAAGTGACGAACACTGTTTATTTGAGAAAACGTTAAGAGTTTACATTAAAACGTTGCTACTAAGATTTTATCGTATGAAAGTGCACTCGCAACACCCTGAACGGAATAAGGCAAAATACCGTTCAGTAATAGTCTTGTAATCTAGTAATCTGAGATGTAAAACATTGTCTTACTAATATTATAAATGTGAATGTTTAAATGGATGTTTGTTACTATTTATCACCAAAACAGCGGAAAGGATTTAGTTGAAATTTGGGATTGTTGAAGAACAAAATCTGGAAGAACACATAGGCTAATTACTAAGATTTTTTTTTAATTGTGCGGGATCAAAGGCAAAGGCGACAGCTATTAAGGCATAATTCTTAAGCTTTACAATACCACGTAATCTCAATGACCTAAAATCCGTCATCCTTCGATAACGTGTGCGCAAATAGAAGCCTTCTCTATATGCTATAGTAAGTAGGGCTTAAGCTTTCACTTGCAGCCTAGGATTAAATTACTACTTTCCTTTCTAATTTGTTATCACGCAACTCGCTGCGAAACCAAACACCGTTAAAGTATTATGTTGTTATTGAGTTGTATTTTATTAAATTGTCTTAGACATTTTGTATGAAATAAAAATAAGAGATAAAATGAATTTCTAGTGACAACAAAACGAGGTCGGATGCAGTTCGTTTGAACAAAGAGGGAGGAAGTTGCGCTATGAAGTTTAAACTGTTACAACTGTTTGTAGGCAACGGGGCCAAATCATGTTTTTATGTTATATGTTTATTTTTTTTGCTAGGGAAAAAGGCTATTCTACAAAAAAATGTTTACGCATGAATATCCTTGTTATAGTTAAGCAAAGCTTACTCTTACTAATATTATAAATGCAAAGTTTAGATGGATAGATGTTTGAAGGTATGTCCGAATTGGCTCAACAGATATAAAATTATTCAAACTTTCGCGAGACATTATAATAAACTTATATAAAAAGAGCTAAGAGGGCAGGCGCGCAGTGAGCGACGGGCCGCGTCCGCGAAATAATACCAGTCCCACTCACCCTGATGAAGGGTCCCCGATGGGCTCGAAACTAGTCGGTGCCGCCACCGGATGAATATGCGTGAATGTTTAGCCGTATTATATATACGTCAATAGATATTGATGAAATGATGAATGAAAACGGAGCCGCGGGCGACTGCTAGTACTTTGATAAACGTTTCTTCTACTCGCCAAGGTTTAAAATTACTATAGAAATTTAACTACGACTTATTTTTACGCAGCAATCAGTAATTAATACATATGCTATAGAAAATTGTAGATATGACACAACGGTCAATTTTCGTGTCTTGCTAATTGTAGGGTTTTCCCAGTAACGTATAGGTACAGTAGGATATACTCCATTGTGCTTTGCGTGACTCTAACAATGACCGTATGCAGAATACTGCGTCGCCACACTATTGTCGGCTGTACGTCGATCAAACACGCCACTGAATTAGTAGTGCATGGTTTCTGCAGAGTTCGAGTTTCATGTACTTCCATAGACCTATGATACTTCGAAATAATTATTAACTACAAGAAAAAAGTGTACAAATACCGTAAACTTATTTATGTCTATTGAGTCGTTTATGACAATTTTTTTACAATGATCATTGCATCACATATTCTAGTTTCTAAAATAATAATGAAGATAAGAAAAACGATTTTTAGATTAGATTTTGGAGTCAATGATTGAAAGTAAGTTAGTAAAAGCACTTTAGATATAACGCTGTCTACAAAGGTAATCGCGATTGAAGTAAGTTTCCGATAAACTAACACAAAATCAATAGTTGTCTATCTGAACCGTACCACCGCTCCGTGGATCTATTACCTAAAACAAATATTAACTTTTGAATTAACTGTAAATACACTTAATATTATTCACTTAGTTATTAGACATGTCGAGGAATAGTTTAAAAAGATTTTTGTATATTTTGGCAGTGGGAATTTACAAATGCGAATATTTGCGGGATGGATGTTTGTTAGAAGGTATCTCCAGATGCATGGATTACGCTGTAATTTACCATAGATGTATTAACTCTCTGGAAGAACACATAGACTACTAGTTTTTTTTATTCCATGCGAACTGAGTTGCGGGCGACAGCTAGTGTAATGTAAACAGAACAAGATGCAGCAAGGCAACTGTTCGTACGGCACTACGAGAAGAGGCGCCTAATGGCCTGTCGGGTGTTGCTGGGTGTGCGAGGTGGTGCGGGGTAAGCGGGGTGATTGATCGACAGGTGACGTGTGCAGTGGCCCCGTCGCAAAACATCGCCGCTTGTAATAAATCAAATGTCCAAATATCTGCGATAAAATGTGATATTCATCTAATGATATACCTTAATCTACTTTACATACGACTGAAAACATATTTGTAAAGGTTTACTAGCTTGCTTGTAACAATTTAAAAACCTTCACGTCTTGTACATATTTTGATAATGTAATTTATGTTATTCAAAATCCACTTTTTAAACCTTTTATTAAGCAATTCTTTGTAGCTTTATCAAATTACGTCATTAAAACATGTATCTAGCTGTAAGATATTATTATTATAGAAGTATGAAAAATACCTGTTTAGTTAAATTGGTGCACCTCTTTTTCAGTTCTTAATGACATCTGAAACAATAAAGTTAAAATCAGGTACATTTCAATATCTTCCTCAAAAACATTTCCATTTACTTTTATACTAGCTGCCGCGCGCGACTCCGTCCGAGCGGAATTAAAAAAAAACATAATAACTAGCCTATATGTTCTTCCAGACTACTTCAAATTTGAGCGAGATCCATGCAGCCGTTCTGGAGATCCCTTCAAACAAACATCCATCCATCCAAACATTCGCATTTATATTAGTAAGATTACTAGTAATATAGTATAGTATAAATTGAACAAATGTATACCTTACAATCAACAACATATAAGGAGAACTGCAACCACACTTGATGAATAAACTTAAAAACTAATATACCAACAGAAATGTTTAAACGCTATACAGTTGACTGCAAAGTCTAATGACACGAACTATTCGTAAATATAACAGCTGTTTACTTAAACTTTACTGCTTTTTGAATCGAATCGCGTACACGTGCTTAACCAAATGTTACGAAAAACTTTGTAATTACTTTTAAAACTGAATACATGAGAAAATTCATTATTACTTTTAGGTTAAGTTGCAAACTATAATTGATTTTTGTATAACAAATGATTTAATTAAAAAGTTAAAATCCGTTTAATATGTTCGTTACTTATCATCATAATCAGCTCACTATACGGAGCTTACCCTAAGTTAAGGGTGATTAGGCCATAGTCAACCACGCTGGCCAAGTGCGGATTAGTTGACTTCACACATATCTTTGAATTTCTTCTCAGATATGTGCAGATTGCATCACGATGTTTTTCTTCACCGTAATGACGTCGGATAAATGTACATATGTAAATCGGAAATCGAAAAACACATTGGTACATGGCGGGATTCGAACCCAGGACCTGCAGATTGCAAGTCAAGTGCTTGACCCCTGAGCCACCGACGCTCTACACGCTCGTTACTTATATTACAGTTTAATTTGTGCTCTCAGGAAGCATTTTCTCTACAGCTGTGACCCATTTTACTGAATCTCTTTGAATAATCTATTAATACTTTTTGCACCTGCTATAATGTTTCAAATATCAAACTAACGAAATCAGCGTATAATAAAAACAAAGTAAATCCCTATACGCATTGTAATTATTTATTTTGACAGATTTAATCGCATTTACGTCTTCAGTTTACAATACGTTGCAAATGGAAGCAATTAGGAAATCGACTTCACCATTCTGTTATGTTTGTTAGAAATCTATGAAAATATAAAAATATTCAAGCTTAAACTATAAAACAATGGTTAAAAAATAATCTTGAAATCAAGGTTTCTTTAGCATTATTTAAACTGCCGCTCTTCGTTTAATTCAGGTTCTTCAGTAAGGGATTTTCTTCTTAATATCTGCGATCTTACAACTCTGTCGTGAGCTCTAACGAAATTATGAAATGTCTCGGAAATTCGACTTAAGCGGGCCTTAGTAACGTCGACGTTTCTAATTAAAACATCCTCTTATTTTACCTCAGGCTATTAAGTAACACGACACTAATAGTAGCCAAGATAATGGGAATGATTATTACAGAAATTGTTTCTTATTATTATAAACCATCGAAATCAATACCAAACAGTTAAAATATAGTATTTTTATAAATATGATCATCTCAGGCCGCCAACGCAACTGCGGTTGCTCTGGTATTGCAGATGTCCATGGGCGTCGATGAACACCTCGGTGTTCCCGAGACTCGTATGCCCCCCCCTTTTCTTATAAAAAAAAATGAGACGATTTTTTTTTTATAAAAACTAGATATGTACGAATAGTTTTAAAACATATATAAAAAAGCGTGAGCAGTTCCCGAGTTCTCGTATCAATAAGCCTACCAAAACAATAAAGTATACTAATAACAATTTATTTCATCGACTTGTAACCCAAATAAAACTCGCTACGTCGTCAATTCTGTAAGGGATCGAACTCTGGAAATAACTGTAAATATAAAAAAAAAACTTTTCTAATGCCATAAATTCACTACATACAACCAGAGGTTCAGTGAGAATTGAGCTACGTAAAAACACGTTTGGTATTAAGACAAATTTTCATTATATTAAAACTTGCATTATTTTTTTTATTAAGCATGCAAATCAAAGGTCGCCGACGGATAATCAAGAATCACGCTTTGCTCTCCTTTAAAGGGCCGAGGGCACGATGGGAGCGGAACGAGTATGCGGGTTTTGTGGGAGCTTGTGATGATTCATTTGCTCACGAGAATTACAAATAACCAACGCTTCAAATACCAACATAGTAAACGGCTGTTTAAAACAAAAGTAAAGAATCTAAGGTCGCAAGTCTAGAAGTGTAAACATTATAATGGCCATACTACGAAGTCGTAAAAAATAATTTCATTGAGAGTATATTCCTAATTACACCAGCAGCAATTAAAGCTAGTAGAATCGTAAATGACAAATGTTATAAGCTATTTACACAAATGGTAGCTATTATTTTAACTAGAACAACCACCATTCATACTTCAGATAGGTTCCTTTGTCTCGTGGTATTGTGAGAGGTTATTATTGAACTAAATATAATCAAGGAAATTTAATACGTTTAGAAAGATAAAAATCATTAGAAGAAACTTGAATATAAATTGGACTAAAACTATCTTCACTTCGTTTTAAATGTTACATAATATAAAACACATTGTTTACTGAATTATTTCTGTCACATCGTTGTGAAGTAATATTACTATGGTTCAAATAAATAAAAATCTGTAATGTTAGCATATTCAAACAAAAGCTTATAATAAAGCTGGAATGACGACAATTGACGTAAAATCGATTCAAATTGCCGTCTAGTATAATTGTTTAATTATAACACGATGTGAGACTCGGCATATGCCATAGAGTAGTATTTACACACGGGAACTTTGTAGCAATTTGTTCGTATGTTTACATAATTTAATATATCACCTAAACATTAGTTCAATGCGTAACTATTTAAATATACAGATTTAATAGGATTTGAATCAATCTAATTTTGTGACAAGTCCATGTGCGTCGTTGAACACCTCGGTGTTCCCGCTGCTCGTTTGCGCCCTTCTGTTATAAAAAAAAAGTCAAATATAGGAAAAAGAAGAAAAGAGATAATTATGTCCTTATATTAATTTGTAAGCCACTTACAATGAGTAGAAAAGTTCAAAACTACTGTAATTAGTTATACGTGTGTGCTTAAAGTACAATCGAGAGTTGATCTTTTCTAAAACAATTTTTGAATTTATTTCAAATTTATATTATACTTTATCAGTTAAATTTCTTCTTTAATAACAAATATTATCCACGTAGACGTTGCCGATCCCGAAACTTTACGTCACACCAAAAAATACCGAGCACGTGTAAATTAGAAACACGTGCCTAGGTATGGAGGCAAACCCATTGTTGTATGATCTTTTTTTTTCCGATGTTCCAAAACATATATATTTTTAGCTCAGCTTTTGCTTTGATTATGCTGAATCGGTTTATCTTTAATTATTTAAATCAATTAAGATCGTAATTATATTAAGTCGTATGAAAAATAAAATGTACATTTAAAATTTAACATTGCACTCAGTGCAGTAGTTATGTAGGTTAAGCGGCAACCAGATAATAAATAGCGTTGTTCGTTGTTCAGTCCGCAGAACAGAACGCGACAACAGTGTCCAGTGCATTAGGTTGAAACGACGGGATAATTAATGTGGGGTCGCTGCGTGTCGCTCCCCAAGGCTAATGTACTGCCCCAGGCCTCGACATCCGATGCCATTCTAACCTCCAAACATTCTAATGAGTGCACTTGTATTACATCTATGACCCACTTTAATAAAACTACGACAAATGTCAATAAACTATATTTTATTCTTTAAATCAAAGTTTCATCATGAGCTCACTTTACGTCCCCACTAAGGGGCTTAAGTTAGAGGTGTCTAGGCCATAGTCAACCACGCTGACCAAATGCGGGTTGGTTGACTTTACACATGAATCACATAAACATACACACAAACTTTAAATTTCTTCGTAGATATGTGCAGGTTGCATCATGATGTTTTCCTTCACCGTAAGCAGGTCGGAAAAATGTACGTATGTAAATCGAAAAACACATTGGTAGATGGCGGAATTCGAACCCAGGACTTGCAGATTCCAAGTCAAGTGCTTAACCCCTGAGCCACGGACGTTAGTAGAAACATAATTTATGTAAAAAAAATTCAGGGTATTAATATATTATAACAGTTTTAAATTCCAAACAACGAAAAAGGTTTTACCAATATATGGTTCGCGTCTTTGTCACAGATGCTCCTCTCTAGAAATATTTCGGTGCATGTCTCCGATACGCGGCTGCATTTTATATTCTCAGACATGCTAGACGGTGTTAAATATAAAACATGTAACACATCTGTTGAAATCAAACATATTAACATACCGAAATAGATTAAGATTTTTATTTTTAATGTAATCTTTCTTCTAGAAATCATTTAAAAATGATTTAATATAATTTCAACACAATACGAAAATAAACATTTATAATAATAAATCTTTGATTCGCATGTGGTATGCAATAACACAAAATCTAGTTCAAATATAGAGTAAGCATAGCGCAGACAGAACATCGTCATATGTTCGACGTGTCCTGTCGCCTTAGTGCAGGCGTTGAATAATTAAAGCCTTCGGAGTACAATATCGAATCCGTTAATAAATGTACCTTGTACTGCATTCAGTATTCTTGCTACACTGGAAAGGAAATGCATGTCTGCGAAATATTAACATGAATCAATACCTGCACATACATACTGTTTTGAGTATTAATGCGTATACTTTATTCTGTGGTTATGAAATAACAACTCGGTACTGTATACCAAACGGTATTGTATACCAAAGATTAACCAGTAAGGAGTGTGTTACAACAGTCAGCTTAGACTCTGGCTAATGGATAATCTAATTTAAATCCGTGACGAGTGACGACAGACTGGGTGTCAGGCGCAGTTTATGTTGCGCGTGTGTAACATCATCCGTTTTCATTGTTTTCCA